TGTGAAAGGAGGTTGAAACCTCTTCGTCTTAGTTAGGGTTCCTGTTGCTGTGAAGAGACACCATGACCATGGCAACTGTTATAAAGGAAAACATTTGACTGGGGTGGCTCACCTACAGTCCAGAGGTTCATTTCATTGTCATCATAATGAGACATGGTGGCATACAGGCAGACATGGTGCTGGAGAAGTAGCTGGCAACAGGAAGCAGTCTGTAACACTGGACGATATCTTGAGTATATATGAGACGTCAAAGCCCACCTCCACAGTGACACACTTCCTCCAACAAGGCCACACCTACTCCAAACAGGCCACACCTCCTAATAGTGCCACTCTCTTGGGGGGCCATTTTCTTTCAAACCACTACACTATTCCAGCAATGATGATTTGAGAAAGCTTTTGAAACCTGCTAACATTGTCCAATGAACTTAGCTGGCCTTAGGCTACATGGCTGGATCAGCAATCTCTTCATAAAATATTCCTGTGCAAGATTCCTGTCCAGCCAGGAGTCATGCAGAGTAAGTGGCATCTGATGGAGAAAATTGCCAAACCGTTAATGGAGAATCTTACTCAGAGGAGGAAGACAATACAAAATACAAAGACACAAACCCTCCAAACTTTCACTCAACAATATGGCAGAATACCAGCATCCTAAAACACATGCTAAGAGAAACATGCAATAAAATTAGTAATTGGAGCATAAATCTGCTAAAAATAAGATTTTTTTTGGTAGAATCCAAGGACCCTGAATAAACTTAAATCTTTATACAAAAATAATACATGTATGCAGACAGAGAAAAATGAGCTCAGAGCAAATAATTATGGAAATGAAGCAGCTTTAAAAAAAATCCAAGAAATGTAAAAAATAATTTTGAAATAAAATTTCCAAGAGAGGAGATAACCCTACGCTGGATAAGAGATAGAATTATGGATTAGTATACAAATCTTGGAAAAATCAGCAATAAAGAAGCAAATGAAATAAATCAAAACCTTGAGGAGGAGGAGGAAGAGTGTGTTGAAAACGCTCTTTCCCTGATTAGCATTGAAGAGTGAAGGGGAACAGGAAAGAACCAAAGGCTAAAGCAAAAACACAAAGTCTCAGTTGAAAATAGACTTTAGGGCGGTGGTGGTGCACACCTTTGATCCCAGCACTCAGGAGGCAGAGACAGGCAAATCTCTGTGAGTTCCAGGCCAGCCTGGTCTACAGAGAGAGTTCCAGGACAACCAGGGCTGTTACACAGAGAAACATTGTCTAAAAAACAAACAACAACAACAACAACACAATCAAATGAACAAAAAAAGGAAAATACACTTCAAGTGTGAAGGCAAACCTACATTTAGAAACATCATGGTTTAACAGCAGAATACTTTAGACAGAGAAGAAAATCGTTTCCAGCGTAAAAAGGTTATATCAATTGAAAAGTTATTGATCTAGAATATTTACTGTCCTGGCTGTAAATTTCTTACTGGCAATAGAATATGGCACTAGAAACAAGTAATGTTATCAATGTAAAACAAACAAACAAAAATCTATTTATGAGACTTTTTGTTGTTGTTTGAGTCTCTCTATGTAGCCCTGGCTCTCCTGAAACTTTTACATAGTCCCAGCTGGCCTTGAATTAAGAGATCTGCCTGCCTCTGCCTCCCAAGTGCTGGGATTAAAGGTGTGTGCCACTACACCTAGTTCTATAAGACTTTTTATACCCAGATCAACTATCACTGAAGAATGAGAAAAAATTGACATTTTCAGTCATACAAGGCTGAAGGAGTTTACCTTTCATAGATTATCAGCAAAAGAACTGCTATACATCTATTCCAACCAGAGAAAAAGAAAATGCCTGAAAATAAAGACATAATTAAAAATATAAAAACCAATTTTTTAAAAAGCTGATAAATGATGAAAAATTATTATGAAAATGATCATCAGTTGCATGTTTTGTGCATACATATTTTAAAGGTAAAACTAAATTTTTCAATTAATCAATTTTGTGTGGAGGAGGGGGATGGTTTTACCAGGGTATGCATGTAGAGGTCAGAGGACAATTTGCAGAGGTCAGTTCTCCTTCTACTTTGTGGGTTCTAGGGATCAAATTCAGGTTGTCTCACATACACACACACACACACACACACACACACACACACACGCACACACACGCACACACACGCGCGCACACACACACACACACACACACAGATAGATAGATAGACAGACAAAACTAAATGTAATAAGCAAAATAAATTCAAATTTCTCTGTAATTATAATAAATGTGACAGAATTCTCTCTTCCTCAGTTAAAAGCTACTCAAAAAGACAAATCTAATTGCCTTCTAAAGTTATTTCTTAAGGCAAAATGATATAAAAGACTAAAAATTTAAGAATGGGAAAAAGATTTAAGGCAAAATTGAAGAGTAATATTTGGGTATAGTGATATTTTATTTGTATTAAAATGTTATTTGTATGTTAATAAATAAAGTTGCCTGGGGGTCAGAGCTATTAGCAAGCCATAGGAAAGCAGGGCAGTGGTGGTGTACACTTGTAATCCCAGCACTTGGTAGGCAGAGCTAGGTAAGTCTCTGTGTGTTCAGGGATACAGCCAGTTTGGATACACATGCCTTTAATCTCAATACCAATCATAGAAAACCTGGAGGTCTATACAGACAGGCCATGATGAAGCAGTCATGTAGTTGGGTTTACAACCAATGAGAAGGCAGAACAGAAACACTATAAAAAGACAGACACACAGGAAGTAGGTCTCTTTCGGAGAGGTAGGACCACCGCAGGAGGAAGGATAAGGTTTTAGCTCTTAGCTCTGACCTCTTGACTTTCTTCTTTGCATTGGTTCTGTGTTTCTTATTTAATAAGACGGTTGGTTACATCTACATTTGAGTATTCATGTTTTTAAAGATCTTATTTTTCATAGGCATGTACTTCTTCATATTTGTAAAATAAAATATGATAACCTAATAGATACAGCTAATCTACTATAATGATCAAACCAGAATAATTAGAACGTCTCTTTCTTTAACCATTTATTTCTTTGAGTTTTAGGCCTATAAATATCTGTCTTCTAGGCCATTCTGAAATATATAAGTTGCTGTAGAACACTAGAGTTTATTCTTCTCATACAGCTTGAATATCATATGCTTTGTATTCTAAAATTTAATATGATTATGAAAATACTTCTGCATTTTCTTCTCTATACCATCAACAGTAGTTAGCTACATAAAATAATACATTCTTTGGTTCACAGCATAGAAAAATAAAGCACTTACTTGTAGATGAATGCAGACACACTTTATCAAAATGGTCTTTGAATTATTTAGTTTTTAACAAGCTCTTACCAGCGACTAAAATTTGGAAAACTAAGTCAGCACTAGTTCTGGTCCCAGAGTCCTGTGGGCACACCATCATTCATTGAAGAGAGTATCTTATGTTTGAAATCTAGATATTGGGGAAAGCAAAATTCTTATCCTAAAACAAATAATTAGTTGGCATGATTGTTTGCCTTGAAATGTATGTTCCCCTGCTGTGGGATGTCTTTCTGTATGCTGTGAATATGTGTTGCTCTCATTGGTTGATAAATAAAGCTGTTTGGCCAATGGTGAGGCAGAATAAGGTTAGGCGGTACATTCAAACCAAAGATAGAGATGAAGAAGGGTGGAGTCAGTAGAGATGCCAGCCCGCTGCCAAAGAAACAACAAGATGCCATTAGGGTGGTAATGCCATGGCCACATGGCAACACATAGATTAATAGAAATGGATTAATTTAAGGTGAAAGAGCTAACTAGCAAGAAGCCTGAGCCATAGGCCATACAGTTTGTAATTAACATAAGCCTCTGTGTGTTTACTTGGAACCGAGTGGCTGCAAGACTGGGGGGGGGGCAGGAAAACTTTCTTCTGCATTCCCCTGATGTAGACCCCAAGAAAAAGTCTTACATGTAGGTTCTTATCAGGGGAGAGACTTTTGGAGAAGTGAGTTATATATCCAGGAGATTAGATAAACAGCCAGTGTCTATCCAACCTCCTGTGAGATGTTAACTCCCACCCAATCCACTTATTTTCTGTTATTCAGTACCAACACCAACAGAAAAATGTCATTAGAAGCCTCTTTCTCTCAAGGAGACAGCACAGTGACAGGCCTCAGACATTTTTAATCTGCCCTCACACTGAGCACACGATTGCCTGTAGGGAAGGATTTCTCCCAACTAGCTCAGATGTAACTGTGGCAATAGATGGGGGGGGGGGGCAATAAGACATTGTAAACAGGAGTAACTGTACAGAACAAAATATTGTTACTGTAACATCGAACTCCAGCTTTTCCCTTAGGGAAGACCCAATCAGCGCAAAATGAATGGCACCCCAAAAGAGACAGCACCCAAAAAGAATTGAACCCCCAAAGTATGGCACCCCAAATGGTGGCAGTCTGTAGCTTGAAGGTAATGGTGCTAAGGCTTTAGAAGAGGAGGAAAGAGTGTCTCTTGACCTCACTCTGTGACAACAGGCTACTCCTCCAGCTCTAGTCCCTCCATTTATTCTCATTTTTATCATTTGTACGAAATGCATATTAAATTACACTATTTTCACTGCCAGATCGTCTCCCATTGACTCACCAACACTGACAGAGTTCTTTCCTTTCTCTCTATGTAGGCTGGCTTACTCAAACTCATGATGATCCTGCTCCTTGCTCCCCAGATGACAACCATGCCTAGCTTTTTTTTTTTTTTTTTTCAGGTGGTGATGATGGTGCTGTGGATTGAACTCAGGACCTTGCCCATTCTAGGCAAGCATACTACCATTGACTACATCCCTGAGCCATCTGTGTTGTTGTTTTTTTAAACTTGTAGGCTCTTTCTTCCTCCTCCTCCTCCTCTTCATCCTCCTCCTCCTCCTCTTCCTCCTCCTCCTTATTCTTATTCTGCTTCTTCATTTGTTCATTTTTTTGAGACAGGGTTTCTCTGTGTAGCCCTGACTGTCCTGGAACTTGCTCTGTAGACCAGGCTGGCCTCAAACTCAAAGATCCACCTCAGGTGGTTCACAGTTGCCTGTAACTTCAGTTCCAGGGGATCCCATGCTTTCTTGTTCAAGGATACCTATAGGCACACCCTTACACACAGATCACACACACACACACACACACACACACACACACACACACACACACACACAGAGTAAATATTAAAGAATTCTGGGAAATCTCCAGCAGCCTTGCGGGACCCCGAGCTCCTCAGCACCTAACCGGTTGGACAAGCTTACCTTGGGGCTTTCCTCCAGGCTGGGTAAAGCCCTATCATTTTCATTGTTGTATACGTATTTAAAGCTTTCCTCAGGAGTTCAGAAAAATTGAAAGCATGAATTATGGACAAAGACCGGAACTTAGGCCGAAGATTGCAGTTCAGACAAATGATTATTACATTTCCTTTCATAACTTTCTTGTTCTGGAGAAGAGATAGTTTGGTTGGCCACTTGGGAATGGGTATGCTTTGATTTCATTAAGTAGCACAATTCCCACCAGGAAACTGGATATAAATAAATGATACTTCTGCATATTCAAATATATCATTAAGCCAGGCACCCTTATTCAAACAATTAGCTATGTAAATGGAAGACTGAACCAAAGCCCAAATTTAAGAAGGTCTTTTCCCTGTAGACATCCCATCACTCTCTGGACTTCAGCTAACATGTACTTAGGGTTTGGACTGTTGCCAAGAGGCTAGGAAGTCTGGGGTGGCAGCCTGTTCTCAAAGCCTCTCCTCTCCCCATGGCTTAGAGCAGAGATCCTACCCTGCCCTATGTGCCACGGCACCGAGTAAGCCACAGTAAGTTACAGGCATTCAGAGATGGTGATCCCTTGACCTTTGCAGCATCTCTAACTGGCTACCGTCAAAGGCAGCCTCACCCATTCACACGCAGTGCTGCACAAACACAGTTCTTATTCTCTCTGTGTGCCACAGCAGGGGAAAAGAGGAACCTTTTACAAGGCCACAAGGTCTAGTGAAGTTCCAGGTGTGGCCACCCTTTGACATTGAGACATCATGTTGCTGTTTCCATCCACAAAGCCTACACTCAAAAACCAAGCAATTGAATCAAAAAACCCAAATGCCCCTCTCCAAATCGCTTAATGATATAAGTAACTTTACGGTTTGCGTTGGGCAACATTTGAAGCTATCCTTAGCTACACGGAGCTGGTGAACCACAGGCTATACACACCTGCACACTGGCCTTTGAAGCCAGACTGATTTCTCAATGCCCTTTTATATTCCCAGGTCTATGCTACATGAAACGCCCTCCATCCCCCTTCCCTGCCCTCTCTGCCGCCACACACACACACACACACACACACACACACACACACACACACACACAC